ACTAGGAATGGGAATCGGAATCGGATTCGGACTTTGAACAAATGCGTAGTAATGAACATGGGGCGAATACGCATATTAAGAACACGAAGCATTTCCAGGGAAACAGATCCAGAGAATGAGGTAACGATTCAAATCAAAAATCAGATCCAGACGATAAAATGCAATAGCCAGATCCAGAGAAGCAAATCGGCATACCCATACCCAGCGAATCATATCCCTATACATGTATATGTAAATGTGTATGGTGTGTGTGTTGAAAGAGTTAATGGGAAACCACATCGGAGCAAGCGTACTTTGATGCCGGCAACTCACATTAGACACGCGTTGAAACGCTGATGGACAAAACCGGAAATGTAAGTAAATCGAGACATAATGGGAACCTTTGAGATGGGTTCAGAAAACATCAAATCGGGTAGATACATCTAGTTAGGTCATTAGAACGAGAAAGTATATTTAAATCGAATGTGTATTCAACTCGTGCGAGATATACTTAGAACACCTATTGTATTATTCGATAAATTTAGAAACAATCCGGTCACTTTGAAATCCTACCAGCCCTCTGGGCGCAGGTGGTTTAAAGAGTTTCCTCTTCCAGCCCTCATTCTTCCTCTTCGGGGAGGGGTTTACCCCTCCCCCAGCCCTCTCCCCTGGACCTGGACAGGGGGTTCCGCGAGGTGCCGGAGCGTCCAAGAAGGCCTCGGCGAGGAAGCCAAAATCATTGGTTTTACGGGAGTGTTGGCCCCATTTTGGCCTTTTTTGGGGGGGACGCGGATTGTGACCATCCCCTTCTTTGATCGATGTCCTCCAAGATGGCCCCAAGAAGCGCCCAGGAGGTCCCAAGAGGTCTCAAGATGGCCCCAAGCTGGCCCCAAGAGGACCCCAAAAGGCCCCCAGGAGGCCCCCAAAAGGATCCCAAGCGGCCACCCCCGAAGCACCCAAAACGCCGAAGAGCCCCCCACGACCGCCAAGAGACCCCCAAAACGTCCGAAGACACCGAGACGTCCAAAAGAGACCCGAAGAAACACCGAGAATCATCCAAGAAACCTCTGGCCCTTTTGCTTGCTCTCCTCCTCCTCCTCCTTCCTCCTCCTATCCCTTTCTGATCCTTCTCCTCCCCTCTCCGCCCTCCTCCCCCTCCTCCTCATCCTATTCATCCTCCTTCTCCATACTCCTTCATCCATCAATCCAATTTTCTCCTTCGCCCCATTCTCTCCTTCACACGGTTCGGCCGTCCCCCTCTTTCCTCCCGCGCTTCCCTGATCACCTCTCAAGTCGCCTGGACATCGTTCCGGGGTGCTTGTTTGATCTGCGGCTCCAAGGAGGGCTCCAGGGAACGGGTCAATCTCGACTGGGGCGCAATGCGAAACGATTGGCAACGCAGGCACATACGCGAACGCCGCAATGCACGTGAGAGGGACAACATGAACCTCTTTAAGAGCCGACCCGGGAACGGTAGGCGGCAGCAGACTGTAAAAGCCGGCGGAAGGTCGCACTGTGGCGCCAGCCCCGACAGACCAAGCCAGCGAGAAAGGCGGGAACACCGTGCGGACAGCACGGAGGCCGAGGAAAGGCACCGCCAAACGCGGCGAGGAGGGACAGAAGGGGAGACAGAAGCGCAGGAGGCGACGAGGGGAGGGGGAAGGAAGGAAGCCTCACCCACAGAGCACCTAGAGTGCTCGAGGGCAGTCGCGTCGAACCTTGACAGGCGTCGGCCGCCTAAACGTCAGAGCCCCAGCCTGCGACTTCCTTGCCACTGTGGATGAGGGAAACGCTGCGTGGTACCACGGCTGAACCACCCATCGGGAGGCCTGCGGACCTGCCCAACCCGTTTCGGGATACGCGAAGCGTCTAGATCCGTTTAGAGAATCAAAACATGGTCAGGTACATAAAATGAGAGACAGTTGTTCAACCGAATGTATTTAGACAAGTCTAGACAAGTATGAATAAACTTAGGCAGAGGTTGGTATACTTAGGTACGTTTAATACATATAAATGCATCTAGATAATATGTACATGTTATTTAACCAACTACAGATAATGCCGGGCACTTGAAAACAACAACTGTACATTCAGATTGTGTACATAAAGTGAGCGGAAGTAATATCGATATATGTACATAAATCTAGATAGCCTTAAATAATTTTGAATTCATTGAAATGAAATTGGATACACCTACCCGAAAATAATGACTTCGAGCACATTTAGTTATATAATTTTAGACGAAGTTAGGTCATCCCCCCTAAACGCTGCAATTAAGAAACCTTGAAACACTATCAGAAACCATGAAACAACCACATCAATATCAATTGGCGACTGGAAACAGCGTTCGATAAATGTTGGCCAAAGATATGTATAAGCAGACACCTTTAGACAATTATCTAACAATCGGTTACTCGACATCGATTCATGTCAGATCAAAGGGACCTGATCTGGGGAAGGTTCTTTGACTCAAATCCTGAATCAGATCCAATCGCTCACGTCCAGAGAATCAGAGTCAGGCAATCAGGTCAACAGAATCACCTCCAGGTAATCGGATCCAAATAACCAATAACCGGATCCATGTGTATATAAATATACATACAAATCATATTCATTAAAATAAATTCCGGAAGCCAGAAGGAAGACTTCAGACCACGACGCCCTCCCCCCCCCCCGCCTCCTCCTCGTCCGCCCCCTTCTCCTCCTCGTAGTAGTGTTGTTTTTATTATGATTCGTATGTGTATTAGTTCTGTTCGTCTCTTCTTCTTGTTGTTTTTATGTTCCAGTATTATTAGTATTATTATTGTGTTTCCTCGCCCTCCTCCTCCTCCTCTTGCTGCTCCTCCTCCTGCTCCTTTTCCTCCTCCTCCTCCCCCTCATCTTCCTCCTCAGCCTCCTTTTTCCTCCCCCTCGTTCTCCTCTCCTTCCTCCTCCTCCTCCTCCTCCTCCTCCTCTTCCTCCTCCTCTCCTCCACTTCCTCCTCTTTTCCTCCTCTTCGTCCCCCTCCTCCTCCTCCTCCTCCTCCTCTTCCTCCTCCTCATCCCCCTCCTCTTCCGCCACTTCGTCGTCCTCCTCCTCCTCCTCCTCCTCCTCCTCCTCCTCCTCCTCCCCATCCTCCTCCATCCTTCCCCCTCCTCCTCCTCTCCTCCTCCTCCTTCTCGTCCTCGTCCTCGTCCTCCCCCCTCCCCCCTCCTCCTCCTCCTCCTCCTCCTCCTCCTCCTCCTCCTCCTCCTCCTCCTCCTCCTCCTCCGCCTCCTCCTCTGGCGACGCAGGAAACCGAGACCACGAGACGTATCATGACGTCCGGATCCGCGGCCCCACCAGAAAAGGAAGCGAAAGGCGCGGGAGGAGATTTCCCCGCGCTGTCGCCCGCGCCGAACACGCGGAGGGAGGCGGCAGGAACGATGGCGAGGGACAAGCTAAGCGCGTTCGCGCCACATCTGACGTCCGACCACTCCCCCACTCCCCCTTTCCCACTGAGCCGCGTTTTGTCCGAGTCAACGGGGCGAATGCCCAATCGGACCGCAATGCGCCGATGGCATCTGCACCGCTTGCCTCGCCGCCCATTGTCCGAAGGGTAAACGGGCCAGACTGGACCAGGACGCACAGAAGTAAGGCGGGAATGGCTGGGCGGCCGGATGTTCGGCCCCCCGCGCGGCCACTGGGCGACCAGTGGGACTCGCCGCGGGCGCCCCGAGGGCACCTCCCAGATCGCTGGGGGGGCGCCTCGGCGCACCTTACTCCGCGCACCCATCCCATGACACCCATGACACCTCGCCCGCGCTGCGCGAGCGCACCCGTGAAGCGCCCAAAGCGTCAGACGCCAAGAAGATGCCAAAGAGACTGTTTTGGGCCCGTGCGTCCTGTGGGGGGAAACCCCACCTGCCTGAAAGAGGCGCCCAAAACAGCCAAGATCTACTCCACGGGGGGTGGAAAGAGCGGGGGGGGCGAGGGCCCGCGCCGATCGGCAAGACAGGGAACTAAAACACGATCCACTTGGTTTGCTTCTTCCTCCTCCGACACGTGGCGATTCCGTGGGCTTGAACCTTTGCGGCTGCAGGACCTCGCGCGCTGCGTCGCCGCTCGGCGGGTCCCGCGTGGAGGGCCCCCAGATTTGGACGCCCGAAATGGGTACCGAAAAAATGGGTACAATGTCCAACAGCAGATGCTGTCCCAAACCAGCAGCGGCCGCTGCTGGGCAGGCGGCCTCCTGTCTCGAATGGACACGGGCCGCGGCGGCGCGGACAGCGAACCCTGTTCAGAATGAACAAAAACTGCTGTTGGGCATCGTGCCCATTCTTTCCGTGCCCATCTCGCTGGGGGGCGGAAAGATACGGATACGTGTTGTCCCCGGACCTCTCATGGGGTGCGTTATGACCAGAATTTCGAGGCGAATCCAGCGGTGACAACGAGGATTCCCCAGGAGGACCAGGAAAGGCCGAAAACGAACTGCTGTTGGGCATCGTGCGCATTCCTTCGGTGCCCATGTCGGTCGTCCATGTTGGGCATCGTACCCCTTCCTTCCGTGCCAATCTCGGGCGTCCACATGGAGGGCCCCCGGAGGCCGACAGGTGGTGCACCGCCGGTCGCCCCCGTCTCTGCTGGAGCCTCAGAATCTCCGGGGAGAGGCCGCTGGCGGCGGCGGCGGCGGCGACGACGACGACGACGATCCGTGGTAGGTTTCGGTCGGGCATGTCCCAATGCGGGCGGATTGAGGGCGATTGCTTAAGGAAAAATACTTACAAAATGGAAGGGGCCCTGGGACACACAAACAAATGCACACAGATAAAAAGATCCTCCATCTGTTCCTATGTTTTCTGGGTTTTCGTCTTCCCGCCCAATTCACATATTGTCCCATATTTTCTTGGGAATCGACGATTGATTGTGTCTGTGTGTTTCTTCCCCTCCTGAAAAATGATCAGCAAATGCTCAACAAAAGTCGAGAAATCGTCCCCGGATGTGTTTTTACTACTTGTGAAGATTCCCCCTGCAGAGGGACACGCCCGGCTTCAGGGCAAGTCCTTGGGGTTGAAGCCGTACGGCTGGAGGAACTCGCGCACCTTGAACAGGGACCGACCGTCCGGGCATCCCCAGAGGCCTACCACGACATGCTCTTAGAACCCTACAATGTTAAAAACAAGAATCTGGTTCTTAGAACATGAACCCGATGTGTTCAAGCAGGGCAAAACCAGCGATACGCAATCTGAGAGCATTTCGTGCAGACTATAAGAGGATCTTAGATCATTCTTCGGTGGGCCTATAGACATGCCAGGATGCGTCGCCACTGCTCGGGCACCGCGTCGCCGCTCAGCGGGGCTGGCAGCGCCTCCAGCAGCCTGCGGCCCGGCGCCAGCGGCGGCGCTTCCGACTCCGCCGCGGCCATGGCGCTAAAAACACACCCTCGCCTCTGCCGTCGGTGGCAACTCGTGAGAGCCTACACCATGCTTGTTGGCTCTTGCGAACCGACGCACATCGACGCCAAATCTACGCAACTCGGCGCTAATCGGCGCTACATCATCGACTACCAGACGCTAGTCGGCTCTAGCCGACGCTAACAACTGAACAACAAAAAGTCACACAAGGCTCCCAGGATCTGCTACCGAATTATGCGGTCGAGCTGGGAGCCTCGTAGATGGGGTCCGAATACTCCAAATCCCTTATTAATCGTCCCCCGGGTCCGGTTTTTTAAGGCGCCTTTTTTGTAACTGGAGGGGTCCGATTTATTAGGGCGCTTTCTTTGGATTGGAGCTTAGGGGGTCCAGTTTAGTAAGGCGCCCCGTCGAAGAGGGGGGTCCGGAATATTGGGTCGCATTTGGAGGGGGGTCCGGTTCTTTAGAGGGGGGTCGATTAATAAGGGATTTGGAGTAGATGGGGTCGGAGGATCGCGCCAGATCGCTGATGCGTTGGCGCCGTCGTCGTGAAGAAGATCGGGCTCAACCTCGAGCCGCATCGCCCCCACCCCCTCCCCGTCGTCCTCCTCCTCCTCCTCCTCCTCCTCCTCCTCCGCCTCCTCTTCCTCCTCCTCCTCCTCCTCTTTCTCCTCCTCCCCCTCCTCCCCCTCCTCCTCCCCCTCCGCTCCCGCCTCTTCCTCCTCCTCCTCCTCCTACTACTCGGACCCCATCTGGGGAGCCCTGACGAGCGGAACGGGCGCGGGTGGGCGCCGCACCTCCAGGCGCGAACCCTCCCTTATAGGGAGCGCAGGCTCAGGTGCTGGGGGAACCGGATGGTACCGGTATGGCGCTACTCCAGATTTCGTAATAAAAGGGAGGGGGTCTGGACCCTCCAAGACAAGCCATTTCAGACCTCCCCCGTGGGAGAACCCTCCAAAACATCGTCCCCAGACCCCCCAGGCCCTCCAAGATAGCCTGGAAGAGACCCCCCCCCGAAATGAGACCCCCCTCCCTTTATTACGAAATCTGGAGTACCCCCGGAGCTCTCCCCGGGTGCGTTCTGACCAGAATTTCGAGGCGACCCCCGCGGTGGCGACAAGGGCCCCCCAGGAGGCCCAAAAAGTGGCAAACGGGCGAAGAGGGCGAAGGAACGGGTGCCCCTTCCTCCTGTGAGGTGTAGGCTCACGGAGGGGAGGTTCAGACAGATGTTCGCGAGCGTTCGACGCGGGGCGTGGTTCCTACCAGGTGCGCCTCGTCGAGAACGTTCCTGGGGGTGCCAGGATGGTTCCGGACGGCCGCCAAACGCCCGACAGGAGGCTCGAAAAACTCCAGCGCGTACCCAGAACTCCGACGGTGTGATTCATCGGGATCCACCAAAAGGGGGGGCCACCAAAGGGGGGGGTGACCCTGACGGGGGGGCGCAAATTCGATCCGCTGGTGCACCGAGCTGCCGCAAACAGATGCCCCTCGCATGCCCCACCTACCCGCAACCATTGGGAGCTGCCGGGGGCTGGGGGGCATCTGTTCTGGGTGGTTCGGTGCGGTATTTTCTTGATGCGCGAAATTATTTCTGGTGACTTGGGCTAAAGTAGGCTGGAACATCCTAAGGCGAGGTCGCTCATCGAGGTGGGCGCCGCACTTCCTGGCGCAGGCCGTCGCGTCGTGGGTACGGTCATCGCGCGACCACTTTTTTCGACAGCGGCGAGGCGTCGAACTCCGCCCCAGCGAGAAGCTAAAAAGGGGCACAAACTAGCGAATTGGCCGGCGGGCAAAGAGAGGGGGTGGGACGGCCGAGAGGAACAAGGGACTCTCAGACTGATGCCGGGCCTGTCCCCTTACAGGGGGATTCTGAACGACAAATAAAAACAAATACTCCAAAAATGCGCAACAGATGCCCAAACATACTGAAAAAATAGTCCCCAGACTATTTTTGTTCAACTATTTCTGAGTCCTCCCCCGTGGATGATGGGCCTGTTTTCCACCATCACCACCATAAGTTGGAGGGGGAGGAGGAGGAGGAGGAGGAGGAGGAGGAGGAGGAGGAGAGGAGGAGGAGGAGGAGGAGGAGGAGGGGGACCCCCTCCCCCTCCAACTTATGGTGGTGGTGGTGGAACATATGCCCATCCCTGGAGAGGGGACGGGCCCGACGTCAAGCTCAGACGCTCAGACGCTCAGAGCGCCCTCGCGCGACCATCGGGGGGGGCGCCCCAGGGGGCGGGAGCGGTCTGACTGCTCCCGGCACGGCAAGGCACGGCAGGGCTCCCCGACCCATACCGGCTACGGCAGGGCTCCCCGACCCATACCCAGGGAGCGGCCTCCGGTCGGGCGTGTCCCCCTTTACAGCGGGGATTCGGAGCGAACACTCCGAATAGTCAAAACATATTCCAAACGTATCCAAAAATTATCAAAACATCGTCCCCAGACGAATTTTTGACATAATTTTTAATATTCCTCCTGTAGAGGAACATGCCCGACTTAAGAATAGCCCCCAAACACTGTAGCCGGCTGCACGCAAGAGCGACCCTGGGCAAGAGTGACCCATGGTGCGCGGCGCTTGGGGGGCCGCGGGGGGGCCAACACGCAAGCGCGCAAGCCGCCACTATTGCATCGCGCTCGGCTATCGGGGGACCCCGTTGGGCCCGCACCAGAAGGTCACTCTGGCGAAAGGCCACTCTCGGGTCGGGCGAAAGGGGGGGGGTAGCAAAGGGGGGGGGGGGGAGAATCAGCTCACGTAGCTGATTTTCCCGGCCGCATGCAGTAGATTTCGTACCCCCCCCTTTCCCAATCCCCCCCTGTCGTCCAGCCCGACACTCTTATGTCGAGTCGATTTTTGGAGGCCTGGAAATTGGCACCAACACCAAGACAGGGGGTTGCCTACACAGGGGGAAGATAATCCTAGATTTCGGTGTTGGTGGTAATATTTCGGCCACCCTGGAAGTCAGAATATTACCACCATCACCGAAATTGGGATCTTCATCCCTCGGTGGATGCACACCGCCGATCTCGGTGTTGGTGTCAATCTCTAGGACTGCGAGATTTGGCCCCTCGTGACCCCCCCAAAGCGGCCCGTCTTGCAGCGCTTCAGCCGTAGGCTTCCGAGGAAGGACGCACAGCTCGCGCGCAAAACTCGCTCGGGGCTCTCGCCGCGCCCGGCGCCCCTGCATCAGAAGGGCAACATGCAGCCTTGGGTCGGGCACGGCCCCCTACAGGCGGATTCTGGGCGAAAAATCAAAACGTACTCCAACACATTCAAAACATCGTCACATGCTATGTTCTGACCATGTCCGAATCTGCCTCCTGTAGAGGGACACGCCCGACGTCAACGTAGTCGTCAACGCTGCGAGGTCCGAGCAGATTTCTCGTCGGCGCTGGACCACCCTCCCTGGCGCGCGAGGCGCTCGCAAGAGGCGGCGCCGGAGGTGGCGACAGGGGGGCCCAACGCCGGTCCAAGAAATCCACGCGGGCCTCCAGCCAATCATGGGTCCGAAGATTGGGTCCTGGGCCCTTTCCTCGGAGTCGTTCCAAGGCCGCCCTAACGGCGATGTTGGTTAACGGCGATGTTGGGAATCCGACTCTTGTGACGCCGAGCTCACGTAGAACAAATTGTAGGAAATCACGTACCACACTTTCCTACATTTCAAATGTGCGAATGTATCGAGCGAGAACGACGCAACGAATTGTAGGAAAGCACGAGCCACGCGTTCCTGCAATTGGTTTGGCCACGAACCACGCCTTCCTACAATTGGTTGTCCTACTGCACCGTTACATAACACACCGTTAGCGCGTCTACGGTCGTTCTGAAATCTCCAGGCTATGACAGGGTAAGCTGCTGCCAGGAAAGAGGTCGAGACCTCTGGGGCCTGAAGAAGGGGGAAAGCAGAGGGGAAAGCAGAGGGGAGGAGGATCGAGAACCGAGGCTTTAAAACGTGCTTTTGTGCTGGACAGTGGGAGTCAAGATATACCGCACAACCACCATTGCTAGGAGCCAGGGGGAATCCTCCTGATTGTGCCGTCCAGCCGTTGTGCACATCATCGCGCCCGAGACGCATCCGATCTCCATCTTGTGTGCGCCTCGTGGACCTCTTCGCTGGAGGTGGCCTGATGTTGGTGGTGCCGCTTCTCAAGACGAAGCCAAGTCGAGGATAAAGTCGGGTGAAGATAAATCGAGAATCTCTGAGATCCGGCGGCTCTGGAGGATGTATCGGGCGCCGCGGCCTTCTCAGAGCGCCCCAGAGAGCTCTGAGAGCGTTCCAGGACGCTCTGGGGCGTTCCGGCCCCGTCCGATTTCTCCTCCCTCCCTCGCTTGGGGTGCCCTGCCCATCGGTCGGAAGACGTAGGTAGAAACATGAAGTAGGAAGGCATCGAAAGTAGATTAGGTTCCGTCCGCCACCTAAGGAGGACAAGCCACTCGATCACTGAAGAAGGAAGGCGCTTGAAGTAGATAGGAATGAGGGAATCCAAAAATACCTACTTTCAACGACCGATGGGTAGTGGCCACGGCTGGATCCAGGCGCAACCAGGGGGACGGAGGGAACGTCAGCGAGTCGACCGAGCGCGGGGGCCCACATCCCCTTCCGATACTCCCTTTTCCGTGCTCCCCGTTCCTTTCCCCCTCTGGGGTGGGCGAAAGGGCCTCCTCCTCCACGTCCTCCTCTACCGTCCTCCTCCTCCTCCTTCTTCTCGTCAACCCTCATCCTCCTCCTCCGCCTCCTTCTCCTCCTCCTCCTCCTCCTCCATCCTCCTTCCTTCTGAACAACTCCTCCCTGTCGCGCCACGAGGCGTGTGGGTACAGTCCACCCGAATAACAAGGACGCGCGACAAGGATGCAAGGGCCTTGGAGGCCCAGTTAGAAGCTTTTCGGTCGGGGCACGGCCAACGAGAGTGGAAGAGGATGGACCGAAGAGGCAAGGTTTCAAGAGCACCCTGTGTGGGGTGACTGTACGAGGAAAATGGGTACGAAGCCTAACAATTGTTGTCCAAAGCCGACAGCGGCCGCTGTTGGGCAGGCGGCCCTCTGTCTCGAACGGACAACGACCGCGGCGACGCCGACAGCGGACCCTGGGTTCAGAATGAACAAGGGCTGATCTTGTTCTTTGGTACACATTCCCTACTCACGTCGATCGTCCCGATTCCCACCGTTCCCTGGCACCCGGAGAATGGCGATTTGAGATTTTGCTAGCGTGTCATGCTCCGAAACGCAATAAACAAGAATTGCTGTGTGAATGCGGCCGTCGGTTCATCTCCCTCCTCTCGCCCTCCCAGCTCCTCCAGGGCGACGGAGAAAAAAGGTTCGATAGCACTCTACAGCGGTTGTTCCAAAGCACCGTGGAACAACGTCTGCATGCCACTCCTCAGCTGATATGTTTCCCTCTCATCTCTCCCTCTCTCTCTCTCTCACTCTCTCTCTACACACATATATGTGTATATTTATATGTATATACACATCCTCACAAAACCCTCGCTCACAAAACATACTTGATGAAACATTGCGAACGCGTCTTCTCCCAAAACGCATAGAAGATCTGAGGCTGTATAAATGACGTCCGTCACGCTTGCTTGCAGAACACCTGCA